ATTGCACAACCATCAATTAGGTGGCGATATGCACTAAGCATGTAAACGACCATTGAACAAAAGAAGAAGAAAGAAACAGCATGGCGCGCTTTTTCTTAGCGTCTGTTTCCATAGCGACTCGTCGATTCGTCGCTCTGTTGAGAATGTCTTGAGTCTTAACCAGGAACATACTCTGAGTTGAATGAACTAACTCCCGGACGAGTTTTTGGAACCACATACCTCGAGTAAGCAAGGTTTGGGGTTAATCAACCGAAAGTTCAGGGTTTAGCTGACGGTAAGTTTTTTCCGTCTGGTCAAACGCATAACCCCTGCTGGACATTGTGCTGGAAGCTCCAGAGGGAGACTGTACCAGTATCCCCCTCCTTTGGGTGCACCCTTCACTCACACCACACCACTCATTCATATCGCAGAGATCTGGCTGGGATTGAACCAGCAACCTCTGAACCCATGAGGCAGTGCTCATACCCGTGAACCACAGATCTCTTGTGTGGCCACATGAGGGAACTACTACTTCACTGTTCACCTGTAGGTTTCAAATAAAGTGTCAGATAAAGGCTTTAAAGCTGTGGTGTAGTGATTGTGTCCAACACACTGAGGTAGGATTTGAACCCACGACTCCAATGCATCCATGTGTGCGATTAACATGTGTTTAGCCACTAGCACCACTGTGGCTTTCACGACGTGTGCTGGTGTTTGAGGCACTTTGTGGGACATAATGGAATATGCGAGATTTTTAACATAAGCTATAGTGGGATTTGAACTCAGGACTCCAGGATTGAAACCCAACACTTTACCTACTGAGCTACTGAGTTTTTGTGGTGGGCATACTATTTAGTAAATATGGTAAAATATACAATAAAAAAGACTTCCAATAAATGCAGAATTTGAACAAACCACAACCACAACTATTTATATCTAAGTCACTGAATTTAAAGAGTTAATTTTTTTTAAAGTTTTTTTTCTGTATATGTAAAACATGTTGAAAGCAATAATGTATGTGAACACCGGACTCCACATGCAAAACAATTTGTATTAATTTCATATGTTGGACAATTGAGCTGGACATGGCAGTTACTTTTTATTCTCAATTTTTTTATAATATTAATATAAAAATATTAGAAATTGCAGGATTTGAACCAGTACTCTCAAGTATGAGAGGTTTCCCATGTTCAGCACACAGTAAATTTAAAAACAGGTGCAAAACAATTTGTATTAATTTCATATGTTGGACAATTGAGCTGGACATGGCAGTTACTTTTTATTCTCAATTTTTTTATAATATTAATATAAAAATATTAGAAATTGCAGGATTTGAACCAGTACTCTCAAGTATGAGAGGTTTCCCATGTTCAGCACACAGTAAATGTAATCATTGGAATTGTTTTCGTTAAGTGTTTCTCTTCCTTTCAGTCCTGCAGATATACTTCATGTTCACATGAGGGAGCTATCAAACGTGCCTTTCCTAACCATTGCAGCTTTGCTATAAATGCTGTTTGAGTCTGCGAACAACCATACGAAATCATTGCATAACTGTGAACATTAGACGATAAAAATAACTTTAAATGAAAATAAAAAAAATACATCTACCTTACCAACAGATAAATCACTCAAAAACAGCCCTGGACGATATGTTGTCCCGTATTTTATTTGTTTGTATTTTGGCCATGTGGCTTCCAGTTCAAACGATCAGACATTTTACCCATCATTAAAGAGACAATCTGAGTCCATTAACTGCTAGATTCCGTGTTTATCTGCTGCTCGAGATCCTGGCAAAATTATAGATTTATTTTAACATGTATAAAGCCACACATTTGTGTCCTCCCACCGATTCTCCTCTTTCAGTTTGGCGTCTCGTAATAAATGTGCTACACTTACTGACCACAAGAGGGAGCCGCTGATCACCTGTTTTCACATGTCTTACATTCAACGAGCTAAACAGGGATTCTGCTTGAGTATGTAAATGTGAAAGTAAACTACACGTTTAAGTAATGAGTTAGGGACTAAACTTGAAGTCATGTTCAGTCTACTGGCACTATAACACGACTCGTCTGGTGGGAAGGTAGCGTGCAGTTTGTCGTCCGCACCACTAGGGGCGCAAGCGGACTCTGCCTCCGGCGAACTGTGCATCATTGACAGCATGACACCTGACAGCAGTGTCAACAACAACTTAAAACCGTTTTACAGCCATGAAAGTGCAGATTCTGCCCATGACAGCTCAGTGACAGACTCTTAATGTGACTCAACAGCACATATTTCAGGCCAGAATGAAACAAAACCATCATATACTGCGATAAAGTGCATGAATCGAGGATGTCACGCGACTCGCCTGTAAGTAACTTCTCTTGTAAAGTCCCTAGTACTTATTTAGCTGTCTTCATTTTGTATCTAAGTCATTATTTAAGTTTGTATT